TGCCTACTGGTAATTCAAACCAAAAATACAATATTTGAAAGGACCTTAGTTCAAAGTTTATTTTAAAACTGCTGGCATATATGTAAGTTTCCAGTAATGGATGAAAGGTCATTTTTATTTTGGCTAAGGATGGGAATCATGGAGAGTTAGATTTCTGCATGAAATAGTTAAAAAACTAAATGATAGACCACTTTTGAAGGACTTTAGGATTGCTGACAAAAGGCCACACACACACACACACACTCTTCAGTGTACTGGGGCTGAATTTTCCTAGTCTCACTGCCATGGTTTCAACCAAAAAGCTGAATGCTCACAGTTAAAACTGGCCATGGGCAACTGTAATCCTGAGCTAAAAATCTCCTTAAAACAGCAATTCAAAGTGTGGAAACTCCACTGGTAGGAAATACAACAGTAACAAATAAGAGTTATCAAAGTGAGTGAGAGGCACCTTCCACCCCCTTATAATTAGCTAGGTTCAGGGTATATTTTTGGTTTAACTTAGTTTCTCTTTTTTCATCACTTCACATTCTATTTTGATGTGTAGTGCCCTGGCTTCCTGTTACTACATCTCGATATTCTACTGCAAATTATGACTCATTCTTAAATCATACAGAAACTCATCAAAATCCCAAATTTCACAGCACATATGAATTCAGGCTTTCAAGACGGCAGCATTCTTAGAACATTACTTGGAGCCACAGAGACAAAAACACTGAACAAGTCCACGTAGAAATGATGTCAATCTATTGTTGAGTCAACACATTTATTAGATCAATAAATACAAGCTCTCTGTGTGGTCATTTTGATTTTAGTACTAGTTATTAAAATGTGTTACATGATAGGTTAAGTGAAAATAAGTTACAAAATAGAAAGCACAATGAAATTCCAATCAAAAATTTAATGTGTGCACGTGTGTGTGTGTATATATATATATATATGTATACACACATTGGCATGTTAAAAGTCTAAACTTACATATATCAAAACATTAACAATGGGATCATGGCAGATGTGTCATTTTTTTTCTTTGTGGTTTTCTGACTCTTCCTAAGGTGATTCACAACTATTTTTAATAACAGGGAAAAAAAAATCTAACCTTTAGAAAATACTGTTATGCTAGTGTGATCTCAAGTATGTTTTAAATCCATCTACAAAGGCTAAGGGGAATAATCGATAATGACATTAAAAAAAAAAAAAAACTCTTGCCTGAAATAGACAGACAAATCTGACAGGAACTGAATCCTATATTCAAAAGACCATACCCACATCACTCCTGTGTGTGTGTGTGTGTGTGTGTGTGTGTGTGTAGGCGTGGGCATGGGTGTGTATGTGTACATAGGAGTGCATATTGCTACAAAAGGACCAGAAACCAGCTGTCTGCAGCCAGGGCACAGCCAACTGACGGAGAACCCATTTCTTTTAAAGTTTAATGAGGAACCCTAGGTCTGGGAAACAAGGCATAAATGGCTGAATCATTCCCTAGAAATGGAAAGGAGCAAAGCCATTAATTAGTAAGCAGTACCTTAATATTAGTGGGGGGTGGGGGAAGAGTCTACTCCAGAAAGTCACATTCTTGGACAATATTTTTACAAGTGTTTTGGGTTTGTCAATAGGTAATGTTTTGGAACATTTCACAGCACCATATTGGCTTCTGAATCAAAAATATAATTGGGTAGCACAGAACACAGAAAATTCAATATTTGACAGCTAAGAAAGAAATCTTTTAATTTATGTACACTGCCTGGAAGTCCTTTAAAACCAATTTCAGGAAGAGATTTAAGTTCCAAAAAGTTATTACAAATATAAATTTCAATAGATGATCTCAGAATTACATTTACTGTTTATGAGCAATTTTGAATTATTGAACTTTTTAAATATGAAAAAGAGTTCTTCAGTGAATGTTTAGAAAACTTTAAAATTCAAATGGGGTGCTGGGGTGGGGGGGAGTGGAATCACTTCTCTCCCCCATATGGGCTGCAGTCATTCTGGTCTAAAAAGCATTAGTACCAAGTAAGAGAGATTCAGAAATGGTTTAACTCAGCTCACAAAGGGGCCACCAGCACAAAGTCATCCACATCTCATTCTATTGCACACTGCTGACCAAAGAGAGAAAATCCATGCATATTGTGTTACATAGGGCAGAAAAGGACAGCTGATCACATGTATGCACCCTATTCTATTTGTTGAATGAACATATGAAAGAACTATCATCATCATCATTAATGTAAATAAGTTTCTCAAGCTGGGCACGAATGACATTCTGCCCTGAAGAATTCTCCATAGGGGTCTATCCTGTGCACTGTGGATTGTTGAGCAGCTTCCCTGGCCCCTTGGCCACTAGACACACCAGCGCCCCCTATAGCCATGACAACCAAAATGTCTGCAGTTCCCTGGGGGGCAAAATTAACTGCAGGCTGAGGGCTCTTGATCCAAATGAATCTTATGCATTCCAAATAGTAACTTACTGGAATGAGGAATTCTAATTATCTCCTTTTTATTTTGAAGGAGATGCCAACTGAGAGGAGACTATTTACAACCCCCATGCTCAAGGAATGCTCACACAGGATAAGGTCAGCTTCTTCGGAAAGCTTTTTCCCCCATATCTATTGTAAAGTTTGTTATCCTACTCACAGCTTTCAATGCAATAATTTATTGAGCACCTATCCTGTGCCAGGCACAGTATTAGGGACATCCTGTACTCCTGTCCACTGACTCACACCCTGGTGGGGTTGGCTGGGCTGTTTTTAGGACATGCTTTGCCACCATAAAAGAAATGCCACGACCTTAAAAACCCTCAAGAGAGCACCAAGGCCTCGTTAATACAGGAGCCCCACAGTTCCAGTTGGGTTCTTTAAAATTCTTTACCCTTTTTAGTAACTCTACACATGTCTAACATTTAAAAGTTGAAAAAGAAGGGGGGGGGGAATACCAGAAGACCTTGGATATATTTAGCATAGAAAGCCCATCAGGGGTTTCTGCGGGCTGGGTCATTACTGGAAGCTCTAAAAACACTTATGACAGTCTTCTTCTCTGGATGACCCACGTGTCCTCCCAAAACAATTGGTGATCTTACAATCTCCACAAATTGCAACTCATCACTGACCTTTCCCAAACAGATGTGTGTCACAGAGCTAGAAAGAGAGAGAGATCAGAGGGTTTTGTGTTTGGCAATATGGCAATAAGGTTCAGGAATCGATTTGAGGTCATCATAAACAGAAGCCTCCAGCAGTCTGACCAACTCCTGTCTCCTGCTTCACTGCCTGACAGAGACTGAAGCACAGATAGGAGTTGGGTGAGTTTGAGACTGAAGCACAGATAGGAGTTGGGTGAGTTTGAGCCTCTTGGGCAATAGAAACTTCACACACACACACACACACACACACACACACACACACACAAAGACACACAATTGGGCAAGAAAAACCTGCAAGTCCAAAATCCAAAATGGCCCAAGTGACTTCAAAGTCTACAAGCTGCGGCCCTGAAAAGGTTCCTAGGGAGGCTGCACCTCTAAGTAAATAAAGCCGTAACTGGTACCCCTCACCAGCCCAGCGCAGGGCTCCGGGGCTGACAGTGGCTGCACAAAACCCCTCCTGTGCAGAGCAGCGGAAACTCCTAATGAGATTAGTTGGTGTGTGTGCAGACATTACTTAGCAATGACTAAAGGGGCTCTCTCTTCCTGCAGCAGCCAGTGGAAAATTCAGGGAACTTTTTTCCCCCGTAGCAGCAGAATCCCTTTAACCCTCTCCCCAGCCAACTCCAAAAACAACTCAGCTCCCCCCAACCCCTCCTCCCCGGGCTGGGGTGCTGGGGGGCGTTAAAGACCCGCCCGGGGGCTTCCAGAACAGGCGGGTGGGAGCCGGTCGGCGGGGCAGGGGCGGGGGACCCCTCCAGCACTACAAAGGAGACTGTAAAAGGCACAAATACATAAACCTGAGAAGGAGCAAACCACAGTTTCTTTGTGAGCTCCTCCAGTGAGTCATTTTCAAGATGCTGTCTGCTGCCAGTTTCAAAGCGGAAGCGCATGGCAATTAGTCTTGCCGTTTCCAGACAAGCCAGAAACTCTCCCGACACTCGTTGTTTTTTTTTTTTCTTTTCTAAAAAGCCCCTTTTGCAGTTTCTGAAATAACATTTCTTGCTCCCACCCCCACCCCAGCCGAACTGCAGCTTGTCCTGAGGACGATTTGGGTCAGAAAGCGCCCCCAAACCGGGACCTCTTACTTTTCTTTTTGAACCCCCCCAACATTGCAATGTTCCCCCTCCCCAAAAAGTTACAGTAGCAGCACTGCAGGCCAGCAGCCCGGCCCCCAGTGGAGAACCCCTGCCTGCAGAGCTGGGGGCGCCAGGACCGGTCCCTGCCCGGTGCCTCTCCCCAGCCCTGTCCACGGAGCTCGGCGGCTTTTAAAGGTCCGGCTGGGCGCGCGTCTGGGGCGAGGACCCGGGCGGGGGTCACCTGCCGAGCGCAGTGGGCGCAGCCCCCCGGCCGGTGACTTGGCCCGCTCGGCTCCCCGCCTCCCTCTCCATCCCTGCGCCCCTCCCAGAATCCGAGCACCGGCGCCCTCGGCCACCCCGAGGGGAGCCCCCACGGGCAGGTCAGCGGTGGTCCAGCAGCCAGGCACGCAGCTGCTCCCGCCGCGGGTCCTCCCGGGGACCCCAAGTCTCGCCGGCCCTCACCCCCAGCCCCCCGCAGCCTGCAACCGCCCCCTCCTCGGGCTCTCCGACCAGCCCCGGGCGGGGTGCCGCGGGCGCGGGGTCTCCGCCGCCCCCGAGGGCGCGCGGGCGCACGGCTCCGTCCGGCCCGGCTGGCGGGCGCGCGGGCGCGGGAGCATCCCGGCTGCGCCCCCTCCCGCGGGCGGCCCCCACCCCTGCCCGCAGCGCACCCCGCGGCGCCCACCGCCCCACCCCCACCAAACCCAAGAAAAGAAAGAAAAACACCCAAAAACCAGCCCCCTCCAAACTTTGCAACTGTCCGAGCAACAGGCAGAAACCCAGCAACCTACCCAGATGTGGGGGAGCCTTCAAGAGCCTTCTTCGGGGGAATTTCTAGGAGGAACCGGGCGAAAGCCCCGACTTTCCATGCTGACAGGCGTCTGCAGACGGTCTGTTGCTCTTGTAATGAGATCCTGATTTTTCCCCTTTTTTTTTCTTTCTCTCGCTCCTCTTTTTTTTTTTTCCTCCTGTGTGTGTGAGAGCAGGAAGTTGGAGCAGTCAGGCCGAGCCGGCTCACTTCCTTTACTGCATTATTCCCCAGGCGGTGTGCAGTCTGTGTAAACAGGCTTTTCCGCCCCGCGCCGCGCGCCCCGGCCGCGGCTGTGCGCCGGGACTGGCCGCCGAGGCCCGCGCATACTCCGCCGCCCCGGGCCCCCGCGCTCGCCCCGCACCGCCCGCGCGCCCCGCGCCCGCTGCGCGCCCCGCTTCCTGCTCGGCCACCCCAGGGGAGGAGCCTCGGGACCCGCTGCGGCTCAGCCGGGCGGCCGCTCCCCTCCCGGGAGGGGGAGCGAGGGGGGCCCCTCGGCTCCAAACCCAGACCAGCCCCCCCCACACCACCCCAGGCTGCGGCTGGAACGGGGATCCCTGCTCTCCCTCCACCCCAGCCTCTCCGGGGTCCCCGCGCTGGGGACCGCGCTGGCCACTGCGGTGGGATCGGGCCCTGCTGCTCAGCTGGCCTGGACGCAGAGGCCCGAAGTGGGGAGACCACGTTGGACTTGCTGTTTTGTATCCGTTGAGGGACAGCAGGAGTGGGGTTCAGGGGGTAGTTGCTCTGGGCGAAGAAGTTTTATGGTGGGAGGGCGTGAGGAGGATGAGATGGTGGATGTGCAAGAAGGGAGGCAGGGTTTCTGTCTGGGAATGGACACAGTTCCTGTCTGGGATTAAAAAAAAAAGCCAGCTCGAGTTGGGGGCCCACTTTGGGGAAAGGGATGAGCGCCATGCTGGAAGGCAGGATTCTCCAGCAAGAGATCTGGCTGGCCCTTCACGACCACAGGCACAATGACCATGCCTGCCTGCTAAGGGGGGCTGCTAAGGGAGGGAAACTGGCCGCTACCGTAGCGCCCAGGGGCTGAGGCTTGCCGGGGAGATTCAACCCCAGCTGCCCACCTTGGGGAACTCTTGGATTCCCCGCCTTCACCCCCAGAGCAGCCACGGTGGCTCAGACTTGAGCGTGCACTGGCATCCCGTGAGGGGGCTCCTTAAGACATTGGTTGCCTGGCCTCCTAATGCAGTAGGCCTGGGGTGGTTCTCGGGCCTGGCTCATGTTAGAATCACCTGGGGGGATTTGCAAACTGGCCCTCCACTCATAACCCCAAGCCATGAAGTCAGGTTCCCTGGGGAAGGGCATGTGTGGCTCTCAGGAGGACAACATTCTAAGAATTCCTCCACTTTGTCTTTTATTTTTGCAATCTTGCTCAAAGAAATCTCTCACTATTATTAACTGTGGACTTCAAAAGGGCCGGCTGTGTTTCACTCCTGGTAGTGCTAGCCTGGCACCCCCAAGTGCCTGTCAGAGCCCCTAGGCCTAAGACATTTCAGTTCCTGCAGTATTTGCTTCCTGTCTGGTGTGGGTCCTTTCACTGAGAGGTGGGACAAACCCCACCAGATCTCTGTGGGAAAACTGGAGGTGTGAGAGGTGAGGGCCAGGTAGTGGAGTAGAGCAGGAGGAGAAGGTATGGGGAAGAGGGCTGTTGATCAGCCCCTGATTTTCCACAGCTAATTTTCCACTTTAAGGATTATCGTTTTAATCCCTAGTTAGCGCCTCCTGTCACTCAGCGGAGCTCACCGGGTGTCCCTGCTCCTCACAGGTTGGCTGTGGAGTGGGAGACTGTAAACTTATTTTGTTATCCTCAGGGAGAAAAAAATCTCACACACACATACAATTAAAAACACCTTGTTGCTTTATTTTTTTAAGTTGGATACCCAAGCCAAACAAGTATCTTTTAAACCAGTAGCTTTCATGCTTTTTTTTTTTTTTTTTTTTTTGTGGTATATTTTCACAACAAATCTTTGTAGAATCCGAGTGATCAGAGAAAAGGTATACATGTTATCCTCCGGCAATTTATTCTGAAGAAATGTCTCCTGTGAAGCATTGCCTGAATGCTATGGACACCCAGTGTTTCCCACATGAAGAGCTCTTACATTTTCCCCAACTCTTCCTTTAAAGGAGTCCCTGTCCCTCAAGACACAGGGAATAACTTTTCCTTTTAGGTATCCAGAGTTTCTTCTTCTTTTTTTTTTTTTTGTATTATAGAAAACCGGCTGTCTCAGCTCAGGCTGCTAGAACAAATACCATAGATTGGGTGGTTTAAACAATAGACAGTCATCATTTATTTCTCACCATTCTGGAAGCTGGGAAATCCAAAATTAAGTGGCACCAGATTTGGTTCTTGGAGAGGGTTCTCTTCTTGGCTTGTAGATGGCTCTCTCTGTGTCCCCACAGGCCTTTCCTCTGCACACATGCAGGTAGAGGGAGAGAGGAGGCAGTCTCTTGGGTAAGGGCACTAATGCCACCTGTGGAAGTCCACCCTCATGGCCCCATCTGAGTCTCCACCTCCTCTTACCTTCACGTTGGGGGTTACAGCTTGGACATGAATTGGGGTTCTTGCATTCTCTCTCTTGTGTTGTTAAAGAGGTCTTTCATGGGGGATGTTTTAGAAGCATTGATTTGTTCCACTTTTTTTTACCTTCACACTGGCCACCCATAGACCAGAGGTTGGTCAACTTTAGCCCACAGGGCTGCTATCTATTTCTGTATGACTTTCAAGCAAAAAATGAACATTTTTTTTTTTAAATTTTGGTCAAGACACAAAACAAAATTAACCATCTTAACCATTTTAAGGGTAGAGTATAGTGGTGTATATTCACCTTGTTGAGCAACAAATCTCTAGAACGTCTTCATCTTATAAAACTGAAACTCTAGTTCCCATTCCCTCTTAACTCAGGTCCCAGCAAACAGCATTCTACTTTCTGTTTCTCTAAATAGACTGCATAAGATACCTCATAGAAATGGAATCATACTCTATCTATCTTCTTGTGACTAGCTTATATTATTTAGTATAATGTCTTCAAGATTTATACATGCCGCGACAGGATTTATACATGTGACAGGATTTCCTTCCTTTTTAAAGCTAAATAATATTCCATTGTATGTATATAGAACATTTTTTAAAACCATTCATCTGTTGATGGACATTTGGGCTATTTCCGCTTATTGGCTTTTGTGAATAATAAGAATTTACATTTTTAGGGCCTCCCTGGTGGCACAGGCGGTTGAGCACTGCACGGTGAAGCTGTCCACAGCCTCTGCAGTGCGCGTTCAATCCCCGCTGGCCTCAGAAATGTCACATGGTGAGCAGACCTCTCCTGACTCGCCCGCTGCTCCCCTCAGCAGTGTATTTCGTCAGTCTGCCGGTTCTGTTCCCTGCTCTGTCTCTGGTGGATCCTCTCACCCTCCCGCGCATCTGGCCTGTACCCCGGTTCTTATATAAAAATAAATAAATCTTTATTTAAAAAAAGAATTTACATTTTTAAGTGGTTGAAGGCAAATCAAAGGGAGGCCGAAAATTTGTGACATGTGAAAATGAAATTCAAAGTTCACTGAAATTCAAATTTCGGTGTCCATAAGGTTTGTCAGAATGCAGCCTCACGCATTCGTTTCTGTATTGTCTGATGCTGCTTTTGCACTACCAGGCATGGTTGAATTGTGACAGATTGTATAGTCTATAAAATTGAAAATATTTACTTTTGGACTCTCTACAGAAATCGTTTGTCAACCCTGGTATAGGGCATCTGAGACAAATGAGATCTGCCCTGTTTGGGGCTTTAAGTTTAACTATATTTTCTTGCTTGTTCTAGAGAAGGCTCTTCCTTGCCACCTTGAGTAAAAACCTAGCCTCTTTAGCAAACGTTTTGTCCGGGAACTTCATCTTCAAAGGAAAGCAAATCGTCACGCTTCATTTAATTCCTCTTATTTGGTCTTCTGATAAAGTGGAGAATGGCTGCTTCACACTGTCTCAGCCCGGGAGACTGCCTTTCAAGCCTTTCTCTGGTCTCTGGACAGACCTGACTCTTTGTTCCTGATGGTTCCCAGCTGGTTACACATCAGAAGCCCACATGACAGGACTTCACCCCCAAGATTCTGAGGCCGAGTCCAGGAATCTGTATTTCTCCAAAGTGCCTCCCGATGACCTCTCTCCTCAGGATACCCTTATAAATATCTTCTTCATCCTTTAATTGAGCTCAAAACCTCCCCTCCTCTGAGAAGTCTTCCAGGATCCACCAGATGAAGTCCTTGGCCCATTTCTCCAGTACCCCTAAAACATAGCGTTAGAACTTTACTGCTTATCCTTTTTTATGTGCTCATCATTCCTCCTCACATTCCATCCATAACATTAGACTGCCTGAAAAAGTGCTATTTTTTAATCCATTATTTTGTAACCAAAGGAATGGTATGCAGTGAAGTTTCCTAAATGGTACTATACGTGATGTTATACAGTATGTACTGACACATGTGAGCAATCACCAGGAAGGAGAAAATGGCTGTTATTTGGGGAACATTAAAAGTGAGTGCAAGCTTCAGATTTTTGAATTTCAAAATTGATTTAAAATATACTACATTTTTCTCACATCCCAAATCCACACCATACCACTAGAAAGCAAGGGAGATTAAACCACAGCGATGGGGTATCACAACTCTAAAAGTTGTGAGTCATTGCTGTAACGTCCAGGATGAATACAATCAAGAAACTGTCCTGAACCAGCTGCTGGTCAGAATTACTTCCTACATAATAGGGATTAGTCCAGAAAGGTACAGATGGTCTTGGGCCTTCCCCCTTTCGGTGATCCTGGGTTCCTGCTTTGGATTTTAAACGGGTAGATCAAGAAAATAGGGCAGTTTCTCTCTTGTTTTGATCCTAGAGGGTGTTGGACAGGCTTTGTAGGAAATTGGTCTTTCTTTATCGGGCAATATCAGATGGTGTCAGGAGCCCAGGACATGTGCAATGGGCATGCTGTGTGTTTTGGGCAGAGGTGGGCAGGGGGTAGTTGAGAGGCTTAAGATCAAGTCATGAATGGTGGAAAAATCCAAGGGACTTGAGATTGAGTCTCAATTCTTGAGAATGCCTGAAACTCAAATGAGAACAGCAATTGGAGAGCAGCAAAGGGGCCCTTGACTGGGCCGTGACTGCTGGCAGGGAGATGGTAGAGTAGGCGTCTGCAGCGTGAGAAGCTCCCAGGAAGCAGCACACGATTCACCCCTTTCTCAAGGGTCTGTTTGCAGGAGTTGATGGGCTTTGTTTAGGGGGTGGAGCCAAGGGGGAGTGGTGATGCAGTGTCAGAATGAAATTGTTT